CACAGGCAACCTACAACTTCATATGTTGAGTAGCATGGCCCCTGCAGCTTCAAGCCAAGTCCTTGGTGTCAGCAGCCAAGCATTGCCAAACAAATATAACTGGATCAAATTGAGAAGTGATTGCTCAAGACCTTTTCAGCAGTGGTATACCCAAGCTGAAAACTAAGTAGATAAGACTTAGCTTGTTTTTAAAAAAACATTATATATATATTTTATATATATATATAAAATCAAATGCTGTGGTAGTTAAGGTTGTCTGTCAACTTGGCTGGATCTGGTTGAGTGTCGCTGGGCAGTTGGATGTAGTTTTTCCTCATGGTGAGATTGGCAATCAATTCCATGGTGCAATCTACTGGAGCAGCTGAGTAGCTGCTTTAGGAATGGGGTCTGTTTCCACTATATAAGAAGCAGCATTGAGGAAATCTCTGGCTTTTTGGCACACTTAAACCCTGCATGTAGCCTGCCATGCCCTGCTGATCTTGGGACTGTTAATGGGATTTGAATCGATGGCTTGCCATGTTGTTTGGTAATATCGGGACTATGCCATCTTATTTGTCAACTTTGCCTTGTTAGCTTCAGCAGCCAGCAGCTGCCTGAGCGAAGAGATGCTTCTAGCTTCAGTGGGCTGGGAGCAAGAGGCAGAGCTGAAGCCCAAGGTCAAAGGACTTTCACACATCCCCTAGACCTAGCACTTTGAACTCAGACTTCTAGCCTCCAAAACTGTAAGAGAATAAACTCCTGTTTGTTAAAGTCACCCATTTGTGGTATTTTCCTGTCAGAGTGGCACTAGGTAACCAAAACAAATACTTACAACTTGTTTTTGGAGAATGGATCCTTTGTATTTTCTAGTTTAGTCTCATCTTGAAAGAAACTCAGAAATATGCTCTGGAAGTCTTGCAACAGCACCAATGCTTCAGTTTTTGAGGCAGTCATTAATATGACTATGTGAGAATGTTTAGCGTGGACACATCACTTGTGTGAGGAAGGCTAACAAAGTAAATTAAGTCAAGTACAAGTACAACCGTCCTTTCTGATTTTGGAGATTCTTCAGTAAAGTTCAGAACCTCTTGATAATATTATTTGAGTACACTTTCCCTGAACACTTGAAAATAAACAGGTGTAGATGTTTAGTGGTTACCAGATGTGGTGGAACATTTAGCAGATTAAAACTGGACCACTCCTGGAATCAATTTGGTATTGTGATAAGGTTAGACAGAACACTAGTTGAGGATTATTCAGTGCATTTTAGAAATAAAGCTACTATGAGAATTACATCCTTCCTCTTTCCTTTTGTTGGTGGTATTATTGCTGTTATGTTTCTAATCATGCATTAAAATAATTAGGATTTAGCTCTTAGAAAAAGATCCTTGTAAGTAAATGTCAAGTTCCTAACACTAGTAGTAGGGAACATGTAAAGCAGAACTAGAGAACTATTTTTGAGTTTGTCCAGAATCCAACCCTGAGTCAAAGACTTAAGGGCACTTAATTTATTTGGGTCATATTGTCAGAAGACACCATTCCCTGGAGAAGGATCTCATGCTTGGTAAAGTAGAGGTCAGTGTAAAAGGGGAAGACCCTCGATGAGATGGATTTGCACAGTGACTGCAGTGATAGGCTCAAGCACAGCAAGGATTGTGAGAATGGCTCAGGATTGGTCGGTGTTCCATTTTGTTGTACATAGAGTTGCTATGAGTCAGAGCCAACTTGATGGCACCTAACAACTACAACAACAACAATTTATTTTGGAGGTGAAGAATACTTCAACAGGAAAGTAAGACAGTTTAATAAGGAGTTCATATTTGAGATTCCACTGTGGGCAAGTGGACCTTAAACCCAAGGTCCAACTCTTAGAATGTACATAGAACACACATCTCAGTGTTATCCCACCCAAGACGGGGAGGACTGAGGTATTTTATAAGTCGTTGGCTCAGGGATACCCAGGGATTGTTAACTCTCTGGAACTTCCAGCATGGTAGGCAAAGGCAGAGGAGTTTGCCTTAGCTTTGGAGAAGGTCTCCAGGCAAAGACATGCAGATACTGACAACTGGAAGTCTCAAGGGCATTAAGTGCTATCCCTTAAGGATTTTGGAGTGAAGGAAAATGGACATACATTTTCCTATTTTTCCTGCTAAATATGGTGTGTGCACGCACACACACACAAGAATCTGAGCATTGTGTAAAAAGCAAACATAATAGACTCTGAAAGATGGAGAGAAGCAAGAAGACAGGCTGAGAACTCTGTGACCTGAGGAATGGTATGATAATGAGTGTTCTGGGTTTTCCTTTTGCCCCAACCTGTAAATGAGCATTGACCCAAAAAACCCCAACAGAAGCCAGCTCAATCTAGCCAAGGGACCAGGAAAAGGGCAGCCAAACAAATCAGAAAACTTTTAGACAGTATTATTGTACTCCAGACAAACACCACAGAAAAAAAAAAAAACTGTGGCCCCATGTCTACCCACTCCAACAAAGACTGAGTGGGGAGCCTAGATGTGACCCAGTCAAGGCCCTAAGGACACCCAGCAATCACAATCGGTGGTGTCAAAAAGGCCAAGTAGGGAGCTTGGACTTTAATTGCTGAAGGCCAGTCATGAGCCTTCAATCCCCACCCTCCATCATTGTGGTGTCACTAAATAATGTGGGGAACTGGAACGACTTTCCCAGCTCTGGCAAAATAATTAAAATATTAGAAAGTAGCAAATATAATTCAGTAATATAATTTTTAAAAAATAATAAAATACACAATAACCAAGTGGCATTTATTCCAGGGATGCAAGTCTTGTTCAAGATTTGAAAACCAATAAGTGGACTCCATAATAGTAATGCTCTAAAGAAGAAAAATTACATTATCATATCAATCAATGGGGGAAAAAATATGAGAAAATTCAACACCTAATCAGGATACAAATTCTCAGAAAACTAGGAATAGGGAAAAAATCCTCAACTTGATAAAGAGCATTTATACAAACTCGCTATGAGTCGGGTTTGACTCGACGGCACATAACAACAACAACAACATAGCTAACATTACATTAAAGAGTGAAAGACTGAATACATCCCCTCACAGATTAGGAACAAGAAGAGATGTCTGTTCTCCTTTCTCTTTTTCAGCATAGTACCCACCAGCCACTCCTAGGAAGAAAGAATGGGCAATCTACTTCCGTAGCGATACCTCCTCCGAAACCCAAGGAGGGGTCGCTATTTGTCATATCCGACTCGAAGTCAGTGAGTTGAGTTGAGTGACTGAAAGTTTTAGCCGGTGCAACAAGGCAATTTAATCACTGTAGCTTAATGGGAAGACCCACACAATGAATAGTTAAACTGTGGTACGTCCATATCATGGGATTCTATTCAGCAATAAAAGGAATAAACTCCTGATACACGCAATAACCTTAATGAATTTTCAAAGAATTATGCTTAGTAAAAATGCTGATGGCAGAAAGTTACAAACTGTATGATTCCATTTCCATAACATTTTTGAAATGACAAAGTTATAGAAATGGAGAACGTATTAGTGGCTGCCTGGGGTTATGGAGGTAATGACATTTGTGTGATTATAAAGAAAAAGTTTAAAAGAGATTTATAAGCTTAATTTTGAGTGATAGAGAAGATGGTTTTAAAAAGGCACAGAACAAAAGGGCAAATTTTAGAAGCTTTCTGAGAAGCTTTTGCTTAGAGCAAATGATGTTTCTGAGTTATTGTTTAGTTCTTTGCTGGCTATCTATTTCTAATTAGCTATGGGCCAAACTGAGAAACAGTGGGGAGATCAATGAAATGTCCTGGGGCAGCCCAGAAGGAGAAAATACCATAAGCCAACACTGCAGGAAGACACATTAAGGATTAATAACAAAGGTACCCCATTGTTTCTTAGAAATCTTGTATCATCCCTCACTCTGTGTGATGCAAAAGAGAAATTGAAGTTAACAAACATGCTACAGCTTAAGTGAATACTTTTACTTTTATTTTGAGAGAAAGCTTAAAATCCATATTGGGAGCAACCTACATTTTATCAGCCAGCCATTCCCAAAGTCTCATACCATTCTTATTAGCCTGAGGTGAGTTACCAAAGATGAAAGTGGAATTCCCACAGGAAGTTTAAAAATCTAACAGAGACCTAGCATCCTTCCCCTTTAAGTAATGCAAATGTCATGGTATGAAGAGTTAGAAAGTACCAGCCACCCAAAAATCTATCCTTCTTGGTTGTAGTATATTTTATTTACAGAGCTTTGCTCATTGCAGATACAAAATCAATTAGTTCCAGAACAGATTAGAAAAGGTCACATTCATGCTTTAATGGTTCCTGTTTTCTGCTGGCTCCACTCCACCATAGAAAAAATAATAAAAGGCAAGGAATCGGTACACTTCACCAAGTGCTCCAGTGCATGGGAACTTGGGAAGTTACTTACCTTGCTATTGCATGCCTCTAATTTTTGTAAACCCACCTTAAAGGAATTAAAACAAAGATGAATCCCACACCCCAGTATGTTGTTTCCCATCCTAGGGATCTCCTTTTTTCAAACTCATCTTCAGCTTCCATCCCACCTGCTGGAAAGGAGTTTCTTGGAAATGGGCCTTCCATCCCTATGCCCCATGGACTTTCCTACCCCTGTGTCCCTTGTTCAATGACCCATTGATTCCCTTTGACAGGAGTGCTCCATTCATTTGGAGACAGAGGACACAGATCAGTGGGACATTTGTTTAGTGGCACAGCTTTTCTCTCATAACATGGAAGTTCAGAGGTGTGAAAAAAACAGGAGAAGAAGCTGCTTTACTAAAGTAAAATCTTTAGATGAAACAAAATGAGCTTTCAGAGAACTGATTTAAGTGTAGGCTTGCAAGCCCCTCACCATATAAGACCCAGCCATACAGCTTGGTGTATCAGAATACCCACTGCTAAAGAGACCACTTTATTCTTGCAGATTTTCAGAACCTTGCTTGCAGTTTAGGATTTTCACTAATTATTGAGCAGGTGAACTTGTGGAGTATTTCATGAGCTGGGTAAGATTAGATGTGCAACAACCTGGGGAAGACCTAAGGAATTTTGGTGGTGTAGTGGTTAAACCATTTGACTGCTAACCAAGAGGTTTATGGTCTGAACCCACCAGCCACTTTGCAGGTGGATGGAAACACTATGAGGTTTACTCTGTCTTATAGGGTTGCTGTAGGAGCTCTGGTAGCATAGTGCCTAAGGCACATGACTGCTAATCAGAAGGCTGGTGTTTCAAACCCACCAGCCTCTCCTTGGAAGGAAGATGGGGCAATCTACTTCTGTAGTGATACTGCCTCAGAAACCCAAGGAGAGGTCGCTATGGTCACTATGAGTCTTGTCTGACTCAATGGCACATAGCAACAACAACAAAGGGTTGCTGTGAGTTGGAATTCACTCACTAACAGTGGACTTGGTGGGTAGGGAAGAGCTGCTAAGAAGGTTCTTGTGGGTGGGTGGTAAGAGCTTTGTAGATTAATTCTTTGACTTCCTTGTGAGTTATGTATCATGTGGAATGTGATCAGAGTCAATAAAACTTTAATATATAAAGATGCAAGAAAATCTCCAAATCTCCCAAAGACTGTTCTCTGTTGTGTTTGGTAATGTTGATCAGGAAATTTCCTTAAGGTGAGACATGAACTTCACTGTCAGAGAGTCTGAATTTCTACTATGCAGAAAAACAGGCTAAAATTTGTTCAGTTCACATTTGGAAATTTGAGCTAATATCTCTAGGTTTAAATATCCAACAAAGAAACTTCAATGGAGAGAGTTTTTGTAAGAATCTCAGAAGGCAACTTGGGGTGACCTGAGGACTCACTTTATAAACAGATATTTCAGTGTCAGCTCCTTTCCCAGGCATCTCCTGACCACTTTGGATGGCTGGGTTCTTTAGGGCTCTTCAAGTGTGCTTCCCTTGGTTAGTCCTGACAATAGGAGGTCAAAGGGCAGAGTGAGTGAGACATGGAAGAGAGCACTGGATCCAAAGCACAAAGATGTGCCTCTAAGATTTAGTTTTGCCACTGACGAGCTGTGTGACTTTTGACAAAGTTCCAAGTAAGCTCCTTGTGTGGAAAAAGAACAGTAAGCTAGACAATTGTTTAAATAAATGAATAAAATTCTGTCATTCACAGAGTGCTTATGTGGGCCTGAGTCCCTGGGTGGCACAAACTAGTAACATACACAACTATTAACTGAAAGTTCTATTTTAGCACAAATGACTGTGTTGTTGTGAGTCAGAATCAATTCAATGGCAGCTGGTTTTGGTGTATTAGGTGAAGGCAACTGTTAAGTGTTTTTCAAACCCTATCCAATTGAAATTTTACCCTACCCCTATAATTGCCACCCTGTATTCCAGAAGAGGAAAATAAACTGAATAAGTGTCAGTAACTCACATGACTAAATGACAGAGCTGAAATTCAAATCCGAATCATCATCTTCAAAAACCCTGCCTGGTCTTAACCACTGGCCTGTTGGGTCTTCCCAGTGTCTCTGATCTTGGAGGACTGTCAAAACAAAGCTAAGATAAATCCATCCCTTCAAGGCTTGTGGCCTTTGACAACGTGTGGTATAGATCTCCCTTGGAATGCTTTCCCTTAAATTGTGATGAAAAGGTTTTGTTCTCTTATGCTGTGGTTGCTACAGCTCAGGGCCAGATTTGCCCTCCTGACTCTAGACGGATAGAAAACTGGGATGAGATAGCTCAGCTTTTTGCCAGGCAGAAGGTTTGAATTAGCCACAACACTGCCTTGGTTGCACATTTCAGCAGAGGCATGCCTCAAACATCGCCTATGCTTTTTAGTTCAAAAATGAGTTAGACCCTTCGATGTCATCATCTTACTTTGTAAACAGCTGCCTTCTTTAATGGCTCTCTGCAGGTTATTATCATCTTGGAGAAACTATATTTTCTCCCTGTTTAATGCCTGCCTGCTTGCTATTCTTGTGCTCTGTGCTTTCCTGCCAGCTTCGGCATCCAGCATGATGGGAAAGAGAATGACTGTGAGCCTGTGGGCAGGCACCCATACATCATGTCCCGCCAGCTCCAGTACGATCCCACCCCGCTCACCTGGTCCAAGTGCAGCAAGGAGTACATCACCCGCTTCTTGGAGTAAGTGACAGCACACCTCATGGTGCTTAAGACATGGGTCTCTTTAAACCAGAAGTCATATTGGGTTGTAAATGGAGGATCTGCTACCTGGAGAAGGCTTGATTCTTCCTACAGGCCAGTGTCAGGATGGCATTGTTGTTGTTGTTGTTGTTGTTTTGTTGTTTTGCCATCGAGTCGGCCCCGACTCATAGCGACCCCTCCTTGGGTTTCCGAGGCAGTATCACTACGGAAGTAGGATTGCCCAACCTTCCTTCCGAGGAGTGGCTGGTGGGTTTGAACCGCCTGCCTTCTGGTTAGCAGTCAAGTGCCTTAGCCACTATGCTACCAGAGCTCCCCAGGATGGCATTAGAGGGAGCAAAGTTCCCTTCTGCTTTCTGACTCTTTGAGGTCAAGATGACTTCTGCCCTCCATCCACAGCCAAATGAACATCTTACTCCATTCCTTCTTGCTCGGGTCCCAAGGTGGATCTCCGTGATCTGATTTTGAGTTCAGTCCTTGGCCCTTTGTACCCCTTTCTCCCTTCTAGGGAGGGCTAGCAGCAGCAACCAGCACAGGTGAGAAGCAGTCTCCAAAGTCCTATTGGGGGTAAAGTGATGATTTTCTAATTTTACCACCATTTTTATTTCTTAGATCACAGCTGAGTTAATGGTGTGGGATATGATTTGCGTTTCCTTCTATATAACTTCCCCCTTGGTCCAGGAAGCTTCTCTGCTTTCTTGAAGTTGTCTTGAAGGAAAACAGTAAATTGGAGGGATAGAAGTTTCTGTTGATTGAAAGACTAAAGATGAAGGGAATTGTAAGCAACTACTCTTAATTCTATTAACTTGTTTTCAGTCGAGGTTGGGGTTTCTGCCTTGATGACATCCCAAAAAAGAAAGGCTTGAAGTCCAAGGTCATTGCTCCAGGAGTGATCTATGATGTTCACCACCAATGCCAACTACAATATGGTCCCAATGCTACCTTCTGCCAGGAAGTAGAAGTAAGTTGGGCATCTTGGTGCCTCTGGTGGGAATGTTCAGGACTCTAGGATACTGAAAGAAGGGCCAGGGAAATCTCTGGAAATTAGAAACTCAAGACACAGAAATGGAAGCTTTCTGTTCATGGCAGGGTTTCTGAAGGGTTTCAGGTTGGAATCATTTATACTTCTTTATTCTGCCTCCTTGGTATTTCTATAGAGTCAGCAATCCTTTGCAAATGGGTGGTGGTTGAGAAAGTTCTGCTGTAATTTTCAAGATTCACAGTGATTCATATCTGCAGACTCCATACAAACCAACTTAATCACTAAAGTGGTCGGTCCCCTTTCCTGAATTTACCATCTGATTCTAAAGCACCGCCATATCCCAAGTTAGAAGTAAGATTCATTTCCAATGCAACTTTCTCCCTTACATGCAACCTCCAAATGGATAAGCTAAGTCTTGACATCATATCTCCTCAATTATTTGTGACTCTGTCCCCTCTTCTTCATTCCCACTGTTACCGTCTTAATTCAGTTTCCTATCATCTGTCCATGCTATTGTAATTAACTCCTACCTTATTTCACCCCAATTCAATTGTAGTCCAAGTTATCTAAAACAACACAAACTAACCATGGCTCTCCTCTGCTCTCAGCGCCTCTACTGATCATACAATAAAGTCCAAACTCTTTTTTTGTATCACATAAGGCCCTTTATGGTCTACAAACTAAAAACCAAACTCATTGCCATTGAGTCGGATCCAACTCATAGCGACCCCTCCTTGGTTTTCCAAGGCAGTGTCACTACAGAAATAGATTGCCCAATATTCCTTCTGAGAACACTGCCTGTTCACTTAACTCATCTCTTGTAGAGCAAAACTATCAGTGTTAACACATATGCATTGTTAAAGCAAGTTTTGTTGAATCCCTACCATATTCTGTGCTGTGTACTGAATAAGATGAAACAGATGAGCATTGCAAATTAATAAGACAAATATTTTACCTCAAGGAGTTCATGCTCTAGTGGAAAAAGTAGACATAAAAAATATAGTACAAGGAGATAAATACAAAATGATACATATAAAAATAACTCAAAATGAAGTAATCTGTGCTTAGACAATAACAATATTTAACAGAGGAGGTAGAGTTGCTATTAAAATCCCTCACCCTTCATTGCAAACTGGTTGCCAAATTATGCAAATGTGCCTTCTAAATATCTCTAAAATCTGTCTTTACATGACTATAATAGTCCCCTGATTGTTTTCCTTACCTAAATTCTGCCTTCCCTCAGCTAATCCATTCCCCATAATGCAGCCAAAGAGACTTTTATAAATGGAAATTGAATTGTAACTCCCTCTAATTAAAATACTTCATGACATCCCATCCCCTTATAATAAAGTTCAAATTCTCTAAAATGGCTGAGAAAGAACTTCAGAATTAACCCTATATCTTACCCTCTGGCTTTATCTCATAGAATATTGTTTTAACCTTCTACTCTCTATTCAGGTTTTCTGACTATATGTATGTTGGACTTCATCCCTCAATCCCATGTCCTAGGAAACCCTCCTCCATACTTCTTTTAATCACTTTGTATTTCTATACTGCCTTTTGTTTAAATTTCTTATTTTTATCATCCAGTTCACTAATGATCTCTTCAGAGGTGTTCAGTCTTCTGTGTAACCTGTCCAACCTGTCCATTGATGTCTTAAATCTCTCTCTCTCTCTCTCCTTTTTTTTTTTTTGTATTTTTACTTATAATAGTTCTCTTTGGCTGTTTCTTCACACTTTCGTTTCTATTATATCATTTCCCTAATTCAGACTTTCAATATGATATTTTTATTTCTTTAAACGTATATAACACATTGATGTTGCACTTCATATTTCCCTTCTAATATCTAAGGTCTATGTTGACTGTTCCTCCTATTTGAGGTTTCTACTGGTTCTCAATTATTGTGCATTGTTTCCTTTTGTGATTTTTGTTTTTTAGTTTGAACTCTTAGTTATGAAACTTTATATCAGGTTATCCTTTGAGGCTTAGATAGGTAACATCTTCTTTCAGAGAGAATTTTCACTGCCATACCTGGGTCAGTTTAAAAGAAACTATCAGTTTTATATTTTGGGACTACACAGGTGGTATGGGGGCCAGTGAGAATATAGATACTTGGGTACAACATACCAATCCTTCTAAAGTGTATGTCAAAATAGGCAAGTTTTCATGTATTTTTTAGTTCATTGTTTCACTCAGGGGGCAATCTTTTGGGGCTATGGCTTTATATGGGGTTTCCTACCCAACTTTCCACTCCAGTAAGCCCGAGGCTTTGTTTCCAGTATGCAGGTGATTGTTCATGCTACAATCTAGGTTACCAGGTTTGCAGCACAAGATTAATAATTCTTTTACATTTTTAGCCTCTAAGGCTTTCTTGCCAGCTCAGGGGTACATTTTAAACATTTTAAGTGTTTTATCCACCATTTAGATATTCTGAAGATGGAAAGACTCTTAGGGTATCTACTCTGTAGTTCATTGTTTTGGCTATCATTGCTCAATTCCTCCCTTGCATGCTATGTTGACTCATACTGATGACTTCCATTCCTTGAAAGTGCCAGGTTCTCCAACACCTCTGCTCCATCTTCCCACTAATCATTTGGGTCTTAAATGTCACTTCATAATTACATTCTGTATTTTCTTTGACAAAACTCTTATTAGACTATATTATAATTGATTATTTATTTAATATACCATATTATACTGTAAGCTCCTTTATGGCATTTTTATACCTGATAGTCAGAAGTGTCTGACACAAAGTAAACACTTACTAGATAAGTGAATGAAAACATCAGATACTGGTAATATTGTAGCCAAGATAACCTAAAAGTATTCAATTAAAAAATCATCCAAAATACAGAAAATATAACATCATCCTTTCTCATTATAACTTTTTTTTTTTATTTCTGAAATAGTGTATGACTCAGAAGAAGTTGCAAAATACCTTAGAGAGTTCCTATGTACCCATCACCCAGCATATATTCCTTTATAAATACATAATGAACATATAAGAAAGTAAAAGAAATCTTCAGTGAGAAAAACACTAAAATGGGACTGGTCATTACAAATAGAAGCTGAAGTTACCCTGAAGATAACCAAAAGGTTTGGGTTTTAGCATCCAAATATGAATAGGTGATGACCTTGGGCAGGGGAAGGAATTAAAACTGGGAACACTACATGAAGCGATGACCCTTGAAGACCTATGCCTCATGAAAACAGGGACTAGAAAGAAATCCTCTATCAGCAAAGAGACGGGGCAGAGATTATTTTTTTGGTCTCAATCTGAGTTCTAGGAGTAGAGGTAGGGTTAACTTTCTCATTTTAAAACTTGTTTACCAGCCTCACACTGATAGAGAGCTCAAATTTATACCTCTGTATGATTTGAGAATTCCCATGGCAAAAATAAAATAGCATAAAGAGTAGTTCTGGCCCAGTAATACCATAAGTTGCCTGGTAGAAACAAAACTGACACTGCTCTGGAGGAACTGACATTCAATTGATGACACACAGTCCTCAGATAAAGTCTCAACACAGATGAGCTCACAATTCCGCTTCTAAATCAAAATTTAAAATGATATTTCTTAAACTAAGTGAGGAGAGAGAGTAAACTTTGAAAAATGCACATCAATTGAATTTTTAGGTAAGGGTAGTAAAATAGTACATAAAAGAGGAACTGTACATGAGAAAAGAAAAGAAAACCAGTATAAAATACATGCAAGGCAGACATGCAAAATAACAAAAACAAAAACATTATCATTGAAAAATATATTGTCAACTTTAAAACTCAGTGGATAAGTTAGACAGCAGACTTGATATAGCTGAAGAAAACTCAGTCAACTGGAATTTAGAGCTGAGGAAATGACTTCTCATTTCACCTGAGTATTTCTCAGTGATGTGTGATGGAGGAGGAACTGGCCTACCCTGATAGAAATACAGCTTTCATCTGCATGACAATTAAGAGCTAGAAAAATATGAAAGTGAAATTAAGAGAAATGATGGACAAGCTGGGAAGGTCCATTAACAATTATGAGCTCTAGAAGGAGAGAATAGAGGTAATCTATTCTAAGTTGTGAAGAGATTAGATTTAGAGAGAAAAAGAGAGAATTTTCCAAAATTGTTAATAAATATGAAATCTTATGATGAGAAGATTCATTGAGTACAGAGCACAATAAGTAGATGGATGGGTGGAGGACAGAAGAAAGAACAAAAGATGTATGGAAGCCGCTGAGCTATTCTCAATGATATGTAAGAATCCTGTCACTTTTCCCTGTTCCCACAGGGGTAGAAATGAGAGGGAATATTCAGTTCATTTGCTGGCAACTATACAAACTGAAGGAGCTCTGATAGCATAGTGCCTAAGGCATTTGACTGCTAACCAGAAGGCTGGCGGTTCAAACCCACCAGCCACTCCTCAGAAGGAAGGTTGGGCAATCTACTTCTGTAGTGATATTGCCTCGGAAACCCAAGGAGGGGTTGCTATGAGTTAGATACGACTCGCCAGCAGTCAGTTTGGTTTGGTTTTGGTTATACAAACTGACTACTTTGGGTAATAAGTAAACAAACTTAACCTTTCTAGGAGGAATAGTTTCCATTTCCTTCAGTTTGCAGGCTCAACATATAACCATCTCAACTATTTATGGTGAAATTGTCTTTGATTCAGAGTTTGGGTTTGCCTTTGATAGCTAGTATATCCATCGACATCCACCTTGCCCAGTGACAGTGAGTGTCACTCACAGCCAATATAGCCTCAACTCTAAGGAGGTGAATTTCCCATTTCCCAATTGCCTATTCTGGCCCACAGACCACTATTTATGAATGATAACAAAGTACAAATTAACTTTCAGCTGAGACTTGTCTAATGATTATTTTTCGTAATTCTTATTCACTAACAATTCTTATTCACTAACAATACATTTACAGTGGGTATATGTGTGTATTTTCCTGTAACTGTGAAAATAGCTTATTGGGCAAGTCTTGTAAACACAGAAAAATAAAATCTCACATTCATTTTCCAGAATGTCTGCCAGACACTGTGGTGCTCAGTGAAAGGCTTTTGTCGCTCTAAGCTGGATGCTGCTGCAGACGGGACAAGATGTGGTGAGAAGAAGGTAATGTGTCAGAATGATGATGGGAGAGTGATGGGCATGGAGATATGGAGAAGAGCTTAGAGAAGGCCCTGGAGAGTAACTCAGTCTGGGTGAAGAGCAGTGTTTGAAGATAACACAGTGAGAATAGCCAGAGGAAAGACCCCCATTTCTACTAGTCCTTTGAGCCTTCATTGGCAAGATGTCGTTAATGAGAGTGGACTGAGGCCCAGTTCCACATTTCACTTGCATAATATCTGTACCATCTTTCTCTGCAGAAATTGTTAGATTTGTGGGTAAAACATTTGCTAGGCTTATTATCTGAAATATTGGCTTATTATTATTATTCATTTTGACATTTTCTTTTTCCATGTTGAACATTGCAAAGAATAAGCCCATGCCTTCTTTGCCTGATTTTGGTCTTCTATTCCTTTCTCTTTCATCATCTGACCTGTTTGCATTTCTTAAAGTCCCTATTTTATTTAGCAGGAAAGCCGGACACCCATAAATGCAGAGTTGTTGGATAGCCTCTGGATTGCTTGACAACTGTGTTATACGTGCTGCTCAATTAAACCAATTGGGTTTCCTGTTGGTTTAAGGCTTAGTGTTTAGTGAATATCTTTATGCAGCTTGGGTATGGCATGATCCATCATTGAGATTATAGAACCAGGTCAAAATACCCAGGAAAAAAAAAAAACTGCTAACAGAAATACTTTTTGTATGTTAGTCCTCCTAAATTGGTAGTTGTTGAAAGATTCCCTTGAAGAGGGAGAGAATGGATGTTTTTTCTAAGTCATTTGAAAGGCCAGAGCTGGAAACAAAAGGCAGAGTTATAGGAAAGCAGACTTTTTTTCTTGATAGAAGAAAGAACTTCCCAACAACTAGTGGTTTTTTCAGTGAAGTGTAGCCTCTTCTGCAGACATTAAATATCCATGAAAAACCAATCCCATGGTCATTGAGTCAATTGTGACTCATAGTGAACCCCATGGGGTTTCCAAGTCTGTAAATCTTTATGGAAGTAGATTGCCTCATCTTCCTCTCATGGAGCAACTGGTGGATCCGAGCTGCCACCTTTCTGGTTAGTTGCCAATTGGCTTACACACTGTGCCACCAGAGCACCTTTTTAATGCCCATAAAGGAGCTATAAAGAAGGACTGCTCACATTGTCAGTTGGTAAACTGTCTACTGTGGTCTGCACCAGAAAGTAAATCAACTATGTTACTAAATAACTATGTCACTATGCATACCAAACTGACATGTTTTTCATAGCAAGACTTTGTTAATGAAGGAAGTAGTACACTGATTTACATTCTAGCATACAGTCAATCTGCTGACCACACTTTGAGTAGCACTTCTGTATCAGCTGTGATTGTTGTTGTTAAGTGCCATGAAGTCAATTTTTGACTCTCAGCGACCCCTTTGAAAGATTAGATCCCCCCATAGGGTTTTCTTGGCTTTAAACTTTATGGAAGTAGACCACCAGGTCTTTCTCCTGCTGGTGGGTGTGAACCCCTGACCTTTTGGTTAACAGCCAAGCCCTTAACCAATGTGCCACCAAGTCTCCTTCAGCTGTGTCTTGGCACCATAAAATTCCCTTCTGTTCCTGAAATGCTCTGCTTATAAAAGTCAAGACTGCAAGAGAAACTCTTATAATGAGCTCTGCTTGGTTCTACATCTGATATGTAGCCATAGGTAGCCTTATTGCTCAGGGAGAATTAGGTGTAAATTCCTAGAGCTCTCCACTTACCTTGCTGTGAGAACATTCCTGACACATGCATCACCTGTCTCTTCCCTTTCCAGTGGTGTATGGCTGGCAAGTGCATCACAGTAGGGAAGAAACCAGAGAGCATCCCTGGAGGCTGGGGACGCTGGTCACCCTGGTCTCACTGCTCCAGGACATGTGGGGCTGGAGCCCAGAGTGCAGAGAGGCTCTGCAACAACCCTGAGTAAGTCTGACCAAATGTACTCCCTTCCTTCCATGAACGCTGGGGCATCCCTCTTAGAAAGCATGACTCCAGTGACCTCAAGGCTCTAGGGAGAAATTAAATAGGTTCCCACAGACAAAAGGAGATCAGAAGATTCACAGTTTCCCTGTGAAAGACTTGACTTTTTTTTTTAAGTTTTTGGGGCTGACACTGGATTCTTACTAGATCTTGGACACCAAAACCAAACCAAACCCACTGCCATTGAGTTGATTCTGACTCATAGCAACCCCCATTGGGTTTCCAAGGCTGTAAATCTTTACAGAAATAGATTATCTCATTTTCCTTCTCTGGAGTGGCTGGTGAGTTTGAGCCACCAACATTCTAGATAGCAACCAAATGCCTTACCCACTACTCTATATGAGCTCCTTACAACTCATAGCAACCCCTCCTTGGGTTTCTGAGATGGTATCTCTATAAAAGTAGATTGCCCAGTCTTCCTTCTGAGGAGTGGCTGTTGGGTTTGAACTGCCTGCCTTCTCATTAGCAGTCAAATACCTTAGGTACTGCACCACCAGAACTTGGGTAGGTAAATTTATTCTATTTTGAGAAATAAGGAAATTTGTTTTTAAAGCACAGTGGAGGTAATAGCCTCTAGGAGATTATGTGATTAAATCCTTCTAGATAATTCCAGCTCTGTCAGTAAGCAAAAAGCCCTCATCCATTTAGTTACATCCAATTTTACTAATAAAATTTTAGCATGCGTTCATTCATAATAAATGTACAACTTTATAAAAAATAGTTTTCTTTCCTTAAAAAAAAACCACACTGCTGTCGAGTCAGTTCTGACTCCTAGCGACCCCTTCTTGGGTTTGAGAGGCAGTATCACTATGGAAGCAGACTGCCCAACCTTCCTTCTGAGGAGTGGCTGGTGGGTAGCTAGGCACATTTTGAGGATAATTATTTTCAATGTTTTAGATAAAGATTTTGTAATTATTTTCAGTGTTTTAGATAAGGTTTCAAATTAGCCTATTATATATTCCATAGAAGTTATATCATAAATGATTTCCAATTTTTTAATGACATTGCTTATTTTTTTCATATTTTATATTTGTATGCAGATATGAGTAATATGAATTAAATTAAATTCCCTTGTTTTCCAACTATATATTAAATTCTTAATTTAATTATTTCCTGGTATTCATAATTTCCAACTATGTGTACATGTGATTGGTATGAGTTGTAATCAACTTAATGGCAATGAGTTTGGTTTTATAGGTTTTATACATGTGATGTCTCCTGCAAGTAGAAATATGTGTTAAATTTATTTTACCTGGATTAG